TTACTTGGTTCCAACGCTCTAGGTGTAAATGGTTTGCATTTGGTGATAAAAACTCTAAGATCTTTCATTCAGCCACTGTTGCAAGAACTAAAAGAAATAAAGTGAAGTGCCTTAAGAATGAGGAAGGTGACTGGGTGGAAAATCCTACTGAATTGAAAAAGCTTGCAGTTAATTTTTTCAAGAAGCTTTATACAGAGGATTCTATATCTAAACCTAGCCTGTGTGTTGGTAGTATGTTACCAGCCTTGTCTAGCCCGAGCTGGATGAACATTGGAGAAGCCCGTAGCATAGAAAAGGTTAAGAATACGATCTTCAGTATGCATCTGTTCAAGGCCCCTGGGCATGGTGGGTTGCATGCCATATTTTTCCAGTCTCAATGGGGGAAAGTGGGGGAGTCTGTGTATAGTCTTATTAAAGACATCTTTGCTGATCCAAACAAAGTGGCAGGTGTGAACCAAACTCTGATCTGTCTAATCCTTAAGCTGGATAATCCGAAAGTTTTAAGCCAATTCTGGCCTATCAGCCTTTGCAATGTTATTTACAAAGTAGCTACGAAGTTGATTGCCTCAAGACTTAAGAACCATATGGGGAATCTCATTATGCCTAATCAATGTAGCTTCGTAAAAGGAAGACATGCCTCTGACAACATAATCATAACCCAGGAAATAATCCATACCATGAGAAATAAGAAGGGGAAGAAAGGGTGGATGGCTATCAGGGTAGATCTGGAGAAAGCCTATGATAGACTTGGATGGGGTTTTCTGCAGGATACCCTTCAGGCTTCAGGTTTACCAGAATCTCTGAATAAGCTCATCATGGCTTGTGTCTCCTCCTCTGTTATGAATCTGCTTTGGAAATGGAGCCCAAACAGAATAATTCAGGCCATCTAGAGGAATTAGGCAAATGGATCCCCTTTCCCCTTACCTATTTGTACTATGTATTGAAAGATTAGGACACATCATATCTTTAGCAGTAAATCAAAAGAAATGGAGTCCTGTGTCCCTTGGGAAAAATGGCCCACCAATTTCCCACCAATTCTTTGCGAGTGATCTTTTTCTCTTCACAGAAGCTTCCCTAAGTCAAGCAGAGATGATTACTAGCATCTTAGGCCATTTCTGTGTAGCTTCTGGTCAAAAAGTCAGCCATAGCAAGACCGGGTGTTCTTTTCCAAAAACGTGAACCATGCTAGAAGAGGTGAAATTTGCCAAGCTTTGAACTTCATTCCTACCCCTGATATGGGAAAATACCTTGGAGTCCCTATTTTCCATAGGAGGGTCAACAAGAGCACCTGTAGATATATTTTAGATAAGACCAACACCAAACTGAGTGCCTGGAAAGAGAAATCCATGTCTATGGCAGGGAGAGTTGTTCTCACAAAAGCAGTGCTCTCTTCTCTCCCCATCTACTCTATGCAAACTTCGCTGATACCTCTTGGTACTTGTGATGTTGTGGAGCAGAAAATGAGAACTTTTGTTTGGGGTTCAAGCCAAGGTAATAGAAAGGTCCATGCCCTTCCTTGGAATACAGTTTGCAGAGCTAAGAAAGATGAGGGTCTTGGTGTGAGAAGTTTGAGGCAAACTAACAAAGCATGTTTAATGAAGATTGGGCATGGGATCTTAACCCACAACAATGAGCTTTGGGCTAGAGTGTTGAGGAATAAATACAAAGTGGGGGAGGCTCTTATCCCAGATATAAGGAAAAAACTAGGAGTATCTAACTTATGGCAGGGGATTACTAGAGTTTGGCCTCAGGTGTATAATGGATCTCGGATCATGGTGGGAAATGGCCTAGCCACCTCTTTCTGGAATGACAAATGGTTATTTATTGGCCTTATGAAATTCCATGTTGTCCAATCGATCCTTGCTGAGCAAATGGATGCTGCTGTGAGCCACATGGTGAGTCATATTGGGGAGTGGAATTGCCAGAGCTTTTGTAACAATTTATCCCCAGAAGCTTTAAGCCACATTGTGAATACCTGCCCTCCTCACCCTGAGAATGGAGAGGACAAAGTAACCTGGGATTTCACTCAGGATGGAAAATTTTCTACATCTTCTACCTTTGGAAGTTTGCATGCTGAGGGATCTATGCTAGCTCAGCCAAACTGGAATGCAATCTGGAGTTGGGATGGACCTCCCATAATACAAAAATTTCTTTGATTGCTGCTTAGTGAAAGCCTCCTAACGAACCATAGAAGGAAAGTTAGACATATGTCAGATTCTGATTCTTTCCCTAGATGTGGTTCATGGTCTGAGGACTGCCTTCATGCACTGAGAGACTATGGTTGGGTCCAATCCATCTGGAAAAAATTCATTAAATCAAATAAGCTGCCTAGCTTTAACAACTTGCAACTAAAGGAGTGGATGAGCCTGAACTTGCATCCAAAGGAAAACTTTCTGGAGTATGGTACAGGTAACCTTATGTTTGGTATTGTGTGTTGGTATATTCGGAGAAAAAAGGAATACATTGGTGTTTGAGAATAGGAGTAGCAGCCATGATGAAGTGGCTAGAGCTGCTACTGTTTTTCTAATGAATTTTTTAGATGCCAAAATTGCTTATAAGAAGGCTGGCCTATTGGAGAAGCATAAGGCTGAGATTCTCATCAGATGGGTTCACCTCCCCCTGGTTGGGAAAAAATGAACACTAATGGATCTGCCCTGAGATACAATAGGAAAAGTGGCTGTGGTGGAGTGTTTCGTGATGGCTCTGGACGCTGGATCATGGGATTTTCAAAAAACTTAGGGGATGGCAGCTTTGTCAAAGTTGAATTGTGGGGAATACTTATAAGCTTGCAAATTTTGTGGAATCAAGGTATTAGGAGGTTGGTTTTGGAGAGTGATTCTCAGGTGGCTATAAAGCTGGTGGAAGAAGACGTTTTTTCCAATCATCCCCTGGTTAACCTGGTGAACAGAGTTAAAGGTTTTCTCAGCCAAGATTGGCAAGTGGTTCTAACATATGTCTACAGGGAAGGCAATGGTATAACAGACTGGCTAGCGGGTTCTGCTCATGGCTTTGATTGGGACACCCAACTGTTTTCTTCCCCTCCGGAAGGTTGTTTGGAGCTGCTAGGTAGGGATAATAGGGGTGTTGCGTGGCCCCGAATAGTTACCCAGTTGTAGTGTAGCTTGTTGTTATTTCCTATGTATAAAAAAAAAAGAACTTTTTTTAGCAGAAACATTAAATTCTTTGTCTAAAACTAACACATAAGAAGTGATCGGTAGGAGGTGAAAAAAAAATTTCTTAGAAAAATAGGGTAGGGAAAATTATTTCCTTATATTTAGTAGGAGGTGAAGTAAAAATATGGCTGAATTTTTTTTTACCCTCATTTGTTTTTCTATGTAAAATGGTTGGGGGAAATTACCATTGAAGGGGTGGAATTATTTTTTCTCATGTGGTGGGAAAATTAACACACAACATTAGTAAAATTAACTCAACATTTTCAGAAAAATTTTGGCCTACCAAATACCTTTTAGTAACTTACCTAGAAAAAAATTTCCTACCATATTCCTGAAAATTATTTTTCTCGATAAATTTTTTTTTTCCTCTACTAAACGCCCCATCAATAATTAGCTTCAGTGGTGCCTTAGAGGCTTGGGCCATGAAATCAAGAGATATTTCTTTGTAAATAATATTGCGCCTACGTTGATGTAAGGGGCTGTTTGGTAGGGGGCAAAAAAAAATTGGCCAGGCAACTAGGATTGGAAAAATAATATCGCTGTGTTTGGTAGGGGGATCAGAAAAAAGGTGTTTGGGAAAATATGTTGTCCGAGTTTTCACTTTGTACATGAATGGCTTGCAAAATTTAGCCATTGTAGAGGTGGTTAGCTTTTTTTTTTTCCAATCGGTGGCAACTTCTTGAGACTTTGCTGTGACGAAAATGCACAAGGGATAGCAGAGACAGATATGACGTTGAGAGAGAATGCAAACACAAGATAATGAGAAATTTTCAAATTTGGGGGTTATTTTGTAATTTTAATACATTTTTCCATCAAAATTTTACAATCATCCAATCATAACATCAGTCAAATTCACTTTATTTTTTCGGTGAAATTTTGACATATCAAATATTTTTTTTTAACTTACCTGGTAAAAAAAATTTACAACTTTTTTCTCAGAAAATATTTATTCCCGGTAACAAAAATTTTCTCGTGTACCAAATACCACCCAAAGGTATGACAGTTTGAGCCTCTCCCACTTGATTGCATCCGGTTCCCATTGTTAAATCATTACATTCCTTGTTCGAACTTTCTGGAATGATGCCAATCAAATATTTGTTCCCACAAAAATCCCTTCAAACGTATTCATGGGTTTTCCCGGTCATTGTAGGTTACTCTCATTCCAAATACTAGTCGTCCATATATAAACTAAAACAAAAACTCCATTTCTTCTCAAAGAAAAAAACTACGTAGTAAAATATCATAATATTAGAAAAGGAAAGTGAAATTGATAAAAAAAAACTTAAGCAATAAAAGAAATAAATATAACTAATAACTATTGATTCAAGTTAAAAAAAATTTATTTTCAAATTTCAAATTTGATTATGAGTATAGAAAAAATAGTATTGGGAGAGCCATCTTTCATATAGGTCTATCAAACTAAACCAAATTAAATAAAAAATGGAAAAAACATAATCCAAGTTAAACACATAGATGTAATTGAAATTTTCAAATGATCTTTCTCAACAAAAACCTAAGGCCCAATTTAATGACAATAGAATCACAACATTACCCAAAAAGAAAGGCCGAAAAGAAAAAACAAAGAAAAACATTTGTACCATGTCATTTTACTTGAGACGACGTCGATTAATTATACAGTTGATGATTTTTTCTCTTTTTTATTTCTCTTTCTAATTTTATGAAAGAGAAAAAATATAAAAAATTCTTAAATATAAATCAAAATAATATCTTAAAATAACATAAAATTATATCATTTAAAATAACAAATATTTCCAAAAAAAAAAATACTAAAAATAAACGAAACACTGAAAACGCCGAGTTAGAAAGCGTGTAGTGTACTAGTGTTCGCATCCCCAAGTCACCGGGGAGTGACTCTCTGATTATTGAAGTAACGTTTAGGCGCCAAAAGGGTATGTAGGTTTTGAGATTTTTGGCTCTCTTGAACTCTCTTTCAATTTCATTCTTCTATAAATACATCTATTTCCTTCGTTATTCCAATCCTTTAATCCTTCACTTCACACTCACACACACAGAGATAGTTTTGCTTTGGAGAAATGTCTGGAAAGGGGAAGAGGAAGGAGGAGCACGACGGTGCTTCCGACGGCGACTCCGAAGGTCACGCGCCTCCCAAGAAGTCCATCAAGAAAGATTCCGATGACGACCTTGACTCCATCGTCGTCTGCGAGGTTGGTTCTTGAAAACAAAACTCCTTTACTAGGGTTTTTCCTTTTTCTAAAATGTGTTCCCGTCTTGTAGATTTCGAAGAATCGGAGGGTTTCTGTGAGGAATTGGCAAGGCAGGACTATGGTCGATATTCGCGAATTTTACCTTAAAGATGGCAAGCAAATGCCTGGCAAAAAAGGTTTGGTTTTATAAATGTTGCGTTCATCTCTTTTTAGTTCAGTTCAGTTGGTACGTTTTTGAAGAAATGAGAAGGTTTTTGAGTCAGTCTTTTAAAATGCTACAAGTGATGGTTCTTGAAAACTAACTATTTGGTCCTTGAAAATACTCTTAACATGTTCTTAGTATTGACATGTGATGATTCTTGACTGTATCCATTTGTACGGTGTGTGAGTATTCTTGAGTCATTACATTACATCAGTGAACCAAATTGATAATCATGTAGTTGTGTCAAGCTGCATCGGATAGATATCTGTTAACTTATTTTTCAACTAAATCATTTTTCTTCTAATGGGGCATTGAAAATGATGAGCAAATTATACTGAAGCTTGTTATTGATTTCTTAGCGAGCTTTAAGTTTCTGGACTTGAATCTTTTTCTATTATAATTTATACTCTAGCCATTTTGTGAGAAAAACATTAGACTTGTAGGCTGATTTTGAGTCTATAACGTGATACGTTAACATTTGTTTGTGAACAAACACTTAAATTGAGGAAGTTGTGAAACTTCAGAATTAGTTTTGCTGAACATGATTTTGTTATGGATCTTGAAAATTGTCAATGACTCAATGGAAATATTGGTTAACACACTATTTATTGGATCATGTTGATCAGTTGGATCGAGTACAATAGTACATGAATTGATTTTGCTCTCGTGTTTGTCTTTAGTGAAAATTTGGTTTTTTCATATAGCTCAAAGGAATTGATCCATGTAGTCAACCCTACTTAGTTTGATGATGCTTGGCGGTGGTTGTTGACTTGTTGATGATGATTTATAAATGTGAGTTACGATGACATTTTTATACTTGTTTTCAGGTATCTCATTGACCATGGATCAGGTACATCTTGAAACTATATGGTTGTTGTATCTTTACAAGTTCCATTTCTATTCCATCTCAAATCTGTTGGTTGGTCTAAAGATCTAGAACAAACGATTTTGAAGCCATTATTCAACAATTAACTCAAACTCAATACGTAATTTTCGCATTCAAAGAATTTTCTTGAATAATTTTTTTTTTCAGTTATTAAACCCCCTTTTTTTACCAAGTTCAATATTAATAAGATTAATAAATCTTTACATGTTTCGAAGTAACAATACATTGTTATTTTTAACAAAATCTACCCATGCAATCAAATAGATTCATTATGTCAGAGTTTCAAAATTTAATGTCTCAAACCTTTATTGTTTTTTTTTTTGTTACCTGCTTATACTATTTCGGCAGAATACCACTGCCCTTTCTTACTACGGATACGGAATTGAAAGAATTTCAAAAAAAGGGAGGGGAATTTGATACAAAAAAAAAACAAAAGGGATCCACCGAAAATGATCTTTTTCCTTATCTTTTTTTGAAAAAAAAAAGAAATTGTACAAAATAGACCGTGAAAAAAATATCTTCAGATTACAAAAATATCTTGTAAGAACTCTTTTTGATTCTAACCGAAGAATTCGTCCATTGCGATATATAAAAAATGATCGATTTGAAAATGTTATAAGAAGTGAAATTTCACAAATTTTTTTTAGTATATATCAAAGCGATGGAAAAGAAAGAATATCTTTTACATATCCACCCAATTTGTTTACTTTTCTTAAAATGATGGAAAAAAGAATTTTTCTTTTTACAGGGGAAAAAATATCTTATGATCCATTTTCTAATTATTGGAACTCTAATAATGAAGAAAAAAAAAAAAAACTCAGCAATGAATTTTTAAATAGGGCAACAAAAGTTCTGGATACAGAATTTATTCCTCTGGATATATTTGAAAATAGAATCCGATTGTGTAATGATGAAACCAAAACAAAATACTTAATTAAAACATATGATCCTTTATTGAGGGGATCCTTTCGAGGACGAATCAAAAAAAGTTTTTCAACCTCAATGAAAAATGAAACTTATACAAAAAATCACATTTTGATAAATAAGATTCAGGGTATATTTCTTTATATTCCTAATCATAATAATTGTTTTTTTAATAGTAATTATCCAGAATTTGAAGAAAAAATAGATATATTTGATACAAAATCATTATTAACTGAAATTTGTTTTTTTTTTTTAAGTTAATCAGTAAATTTTCCGAAAAAACAGTATCAAGCTTGAATTATGAAACACTTTTTTTTTTTTCAGAACAAGTAAAAATGTACTCCGAAAAACGAAAAACGAAAATAAAATTTTTATTCAACACAATTCGAATTGATAGGAATGATAAAACAATCGTTAAGAGAAAAAAAAAATGTTTTGGAATAGATGAAATCGGTAAAAAAAGTTCCTCGGTGGTCATACAAATTAATTGACGAGTTGGAACAACTGGGAGGGAAAATAGAAAATTATCAAATTCGTTCCAGAAAAGCCAAACGTGTAGTGATTTTAACTAAAAAATCAAAAAATGACGATACTTATACTGATATTAAGGATACCCATAATACCGATAAAAAAGGGGAATTGGCTTTAATACGTTATGCACAACAACCGGATTTTCGACGAGACATAGTAACAGGATCTATACGCGCTCAAAGACGTAAAACAGTCACGTGGAAACTGTTTCAAGAAAGTCCGCATTCCCCCCTTTTTTTGGACAAAATAGATAAAACTCCCTTCTTTTATTTTTTTATTTACGAGTCAATAAAAATATTTTTTCTGTTCAAAAATTGGATGCAGAAAAAGACAGAATTAAAAATTCCAGATTCTACGGCAGAGATAAAGACAAAAGAAAGTGATAAAAAGGGAGAGAGTAAAATACAAAAAAAAAAAGAAAAAGAGGCAAAAAGACGTATAGAAATAGCAGAAGCCTGGGATGACGTTCTATTTGCTCAAGCAATACGAGGTTTTTTATTAATAACCCAATCAATTCTTAGAAAATATCTTATATTACCCTCATTAATAATAACTAAAAATATCGTTCGTATACTTTTATTTCAATTTCCCGAATGGTCAGAAGATTTTCGGGATTGGAATAGAGAAATGTATGTTAAATGCACCTATAATGGCGTTCAATTATCCGAAACAGAATTTCCAAAAAAATGGCTAACAGATGGTATTCAGATAAAGATCTTATTCCCTTTTCGTCTTAAACCTTGGCATCGATCCAATCTAGAATCCTCGGAAAAGGAAAAAAAAAATCCAATGAAAAAAAAAAACTTTTGTTTTTTAACAATTTGGGGGGGGGAAGTAGAATTGCCTTTTTCTGGTTATCCCCGAGATCGGCTTTCATTTTTTTATCCTATTTTAAAAGAACTCAAAAGAAAGACGAAAAATTTGAAAAATGATTTTTTTCTAGTTTTAAATGAAAGAACTAAATTATTTTTAAATGTCTCAAAAGCAATAACAAAATGGATGATAAAAAATATTTGCAAAAGTATTCTAGTTATAAATGAAAAAAGAAAACAACTCCTGAATTACTTATTTATACTTAAATTCAAAAAAAAAAAGGAATCGATTGAAAGCAAAAAAGATTCTACAATCACTAAGAATAATCCACTTATTTACGAATCACCCATGCCAATTCAATCCATTCATTGGACAAATTGTTCATTGACAGAAAAAAAAATAAAAGATCTGAATGTTAAAACAAAGACAATCATAAAGCAAATAGGAAAAATAACAAAAGAAAAGAAAGGGGAATTAAAAATTTCAGAGATCAATATAAATTCGAAGAAAACAACTTTTGGTATCAAAAGATTAGAATTGGAAAAAAATCTTTTGCATATATTACAAAGAATAAATCATCGGTTAACCCGAAAATCATACTCATTTTTCAAATTTTTTTGTAGAAAGGGTATACATAGATATCTTTGTATGTATAATTAGTATTCCTAGGATCAATGTACAACTTTTTTCTAAATCAACAAAAGAAATTCTAAATAAATCCATTTACAATAATGAATCAAATACAGAAAGAACTGATAAAACAAATCAAAATATAATTGACTTTCTTTCGATTATACACAAATCTTATAATACTAGGAGTACGAATTCACAGAATTCTTGTGACGTATCCTCTTTGTCCCAGGCCTATGTATTTTATAAATTATCACAAACCAAAATTCTTAATGTATATAAGTGTAAGTTAAGATCTGTTTTTGAATATCATGGAAAATCTTTTTTTCTTAAGAATGAAATAAGGGATTCTTTTTTTGGAGCACGGGGAATATTTCATTCCAAATTAAGACATAAAAACCCTCCCGATTCTGTAATCAATCAATGGGTAAATTGGTTAATAGGTAATTATCAATATGATTTATCTCATATCAGGTGGTCCAGATTAGTAACACAAAAATGGAGAGGTAAAATCAATGAAAATAATATGGCTCAAAAGAAATATTTCGCTAAATTTGATTCATATGAAAAAACTCGACCAATTCTTTACAAAAAACAACAAGTAGACTCATTACCATTAAACAAAAAAAATGGATATGATTTTTTATCCTATAAATCTATTAATTATGCAGATAAGAAAGACTCATATATTCATAAACAAAAGTTATTTGATACAATGGGTAATATCTCTATCAAGAATTATATAGAGGAATATGCTATTATAGAGATGGAAAAAAATATGACTAGAACATTAAGGACACACACTGTAAACATTTCATATTTGATTTACCTAGACAAGAGTTTGCATGTTGCTAGCAAAATAAGACTTATATCAAAATGATCAGATAAATTTATACATACATGGTTGACCAAGTATGATTTCTCTGTTCACAAAATAATTTTGTTTAACAAAACACCTGTAGTTTGTTTCTTCAAGCTAAATTATCAAAAATCCTGAATCCTAAAACACGCCATGAACTTATGCAAGAAGAGATAGGCCAGCATAAAATAAGAAAAAGATACAGCAGAGTACACATCAAGGTTTGTCACGTAAAACAGAATTAAGTGAAAGAATACAAAGCTCAAGTGGCCAGCTTCACTGCATCCAGAAAGCAACTGAACATACAGGTCTATTCAGCTAGACTACATATCAAGAGATGCAACCTTTCAAGACAATTTCTTCTTTCCTTTTACCATTCTTTTTTGTGCAGGAGGGATGGGAGTACTCAGAGATTCACTCCTTCAGATATAAATTACAAAGAGAGCAATAATTCATATTTTGTACGCTTCTCTAGCCCCCACTTAGCACTTATTACCAGCTAGAATAATGAAGGCAATAATTCCGTACAAAACCCACAGGCAGAAGTATCCACATAAGTAACAATAAAAAATTTCAACTGAAAGAAGCAAGATGGCCTACATCAGGTTTGAGAACTCCATTGCACTTCTGACAGGTTGGGATGATAAAATCCTCCTCCCAAAATCTTTCATCAATCTCAATATCACCATCAGGTCTTTGTTTCATGCCAAAGCTCTTCTCCGACCCAGGGTTTCCATGGTCCAAACTTTCAATTGCTTCTGCCCACTGGTTTAAAACATTGATTTTGCAAAAACTGAAGATTTGTCAGAAAAGGGAAACTCAGAACAGATGTATCAGTCCTACTGTTTTGAATAACAAAACTCCAACTACTACATTAAAGGATTGATAAAATGAAGCAAGTTTTGTTTTTGTCTTTTCTTTTCAATCCACAGTTATGGATGACGCAAGTCATTTCCTACTTTCAGCACAAGGAACCCATATCAGACACATGCAATGAGAAATTATATAAATGACTGAAACATATCAAACATAATTCTTAAGAAAACTCAACTGATTGTCTTAATATATTCTTAGTGTTGTACCGTACAAATTATAGTAACACCTGCAAGATTGAAGATGGTACACTCACCCAATTGTCTCATTATCACCATTCGTTATAGGTAGTGTTAAGGAATATAAGAAAATAATACGTATTTGAGGAAGTTTCATGCGTTAGGAAAGTAGTTTCTGGAAGTGCATCTGCAATAAAGTGTATGTGTCATTTAAGCACAAGGGGTTTAATATCCAGTATTAAAATGCACACCATTTGAAATCACTCGCTGAATATATTTGTCTTCTCCCATACTTTTCTCTCTACTTTTTGATGCCTCTATTTTCTCAAAAATCAGATTTCATCATAAACCTATAAAGTATAAACCATTCAATGGGATCATTGCTCTCCCCATGCTACACAAAAGATGGATGAGCACCCAACTGTATCATTGTTCTCCTTCTGAGATTTCTCTCTTCCTAAGATTTAAGATAATAGAAAAGAACAAAAAAACAAACAACTCCCTATGAAACCCCAACTTGCGATGCTAAGGGTCAAAGAATCCTTGTACGTAATCTTATCCTTACATTTTTGCGAACAAGTTATTTCATGAATTCAAAACTATGGCCTTTCGATTACAAAGGAACAACTTTACTATTGTTTTAGGCTTGCCTTCTTAAGAGAATAGGAAAAAAGAGAGGGGGAAACATTTTATCACCAGCAAAACCAACCCAAAGCACCTCTAGTCAAATACTGTTTACACAGATACTACTACACTTATCCACCAGCAAGAGCCATTGTGTCTTATATCTAAGCGTTAAATCTTTCAACATGATAATACACTTCATCCCTGGAATGAAGGGTTAGGTCTTTCAACTATCATAACTTTGTCAGTCATAAACTCACTTCATCTTTTTTGGTATAGAAATCACTTATTAAGCATTTATTCAATGATGACAGAAATTTCCCAAGAAAATAAGTCCAAAATACTAACCTTTGGATTAAGGGCCTTCAACTGGTCCTGAAATAAGCTCCGGCAAAAGGAATATCCACAATCTATACAAATTACAGTGTATACAGTCCCATGTAGTTCTAATGGGTTGCTACCGGCACGATGATGCAGCCTGAGAACAAGATACAACAAAATTCCAGGGTAGGGTTGCCTGTAATATCTCAAGTTTTCCAAATAAGCCTAATTGATAAATAAGTAGATACCTGTCAACATTCTGGGTAATCATAAAATTGATTCGGCCAGCTTTCTCAAAAGTTGCCAAAGCACAATGGGCAGCACCAGGTTGTGCTGCTGTAAATCGCCTCCACCCAGCATAGCTCCTTGCCCAATATCGCCTCCGGGCTCGAATTGAACGTAGAAACTCCTTTTAAATAAAGCCAAAAGAAAGGAGAACTTAAGGGCACAGATTAAGATAAAATCGCAACAAGAAATTTGAGATTAAACAGTCAATCCTTGAATTTCTGAGTTTTCATGACTAATCTTGGCGAAAGTCTCTAGTTTTGTTCCAAAATTTCTTCATTGTCATTGCCATAAATCTTCAATTTAAATGTGCACACACTAATGCTAAATTCTTAATGACTTGTCAATAGCTGAAGTTTTTCTCTCCTTTTTGATCAGAGAGAATTCCGTTTGCTCTATGTTTTCTTGCTTGGCTTTCCTGACATCAAGATACAGATATCCTATTCTGTTGACACAAACAATTTTTCTTTCTTTCAAATAATTCAACCATATATACTGCAGACTTTTTTTTTGCCCCCCCTTTGGGCCATAATACTTAAAGTATTTGAAAATGATAAGAAATTCCAAGCCATTAAAGCAACCAACTGGAAAATGATATCTAAATATAAAGGATCTATAGATTCCTATCCTTAGCCTCTTATTTTTTTTGCCTGTTGGCCATATTTTCCGATCTTATTCAGGCACTACCACAGCACAATAAAAGATGCAAAATTTGGTTGAACATGCCTTTAGATCACCTGATGAGTTATTGGTTTGAAACCAGAACTATAAGCTCCATTGGGGCTGCAATAAATAATAAATTGCTATCAGCGAGAAGGAAGGACAAAAGGAGGAGATAAACTTGGCATCATGAATAATAAATTTTAGTAACTCATTCCATATTCTCAAGATATCAAACTCAATGAAGATGAAGCATAAATAATCTTATTAAACAACAAGAATGACACATCTCTTTGACTCTGCTGATAAATGACAGTGGCTGTTGATCAGAATCAGCACTGGTAAACAGTCAGAGCATGGATGGTGGATCCCTCCAATTGACGCATGCATCTGGTTTCAAATAATTACATAGTTCGCCACTTTATTCTTTTTTTGACCCTCTTTGCCACATATACATACTGATGCAGCTTTGTTATTAAATTAAAAATTTGAACCCCAGAGGGGCCAAGACATCTCGTTTTTCTTAAGATTTACAGAAAAACATAATACCAACAACCAAAAATCTCAGATGACCTACAAAGCAAAAAAAGTTTCGAGTGATCTTTAAAATTTTTACAGGCCCTATACATATCACATCACAATTTGTAATAAAGGGAAAATAATATCTTCATATAGTCCCCAAGAAATCATATGATCAAGCAAAATGCGATGAAATATGTTAATAAATTATTGGTCTAAGCACAATATAGGTGACAACTTGGCCAAAAAAGAAAGCAAGTGAACCATTTAATCCTCTTTTGTTGCCATCAGTTTACGAATGCTACAGCCAAAAAATTTAGAAAGTCCTACAGGCATATTGCTAAATAGTGGAAAAAGTTTCCATATCATAAAAAAAATAACAACTAGTAATTCTGAGCATTATTACAATGTTTTACTTTTTCCAATAAACATTTTGGTTAACCTCATCATATTAGAAAGTAGTACAAAGAAGAGCAAGAACCTTCTATAGTCCGGGATACCACACTCTGTACTAATTCCAGCTCCAGTCAATACCATAAGCCTGGTACTGTACATTAAAGTTGGAATCCAGTTAGGGAACTGGTAACTTTGCAAAATGTAAATCATCAAAGTACTGATATTACATCTACAGTATGGAGCCCTAAAATATACTTCTAACTGAACAAATGATGAAAATATGAAAATCAACCTTTGGTCAAAAAACTGATACAAAAGGTTAACATCTTTGATACTGGGAGGATCCGCATCTGGAACTGCCTTCTTATCCCTCGAGATATGGGATGGGCCTTTGTCATCATTTCTTGGCAATATCCCCGGGACAGAGATTCGGCAAGTTGTTTGCACAAACTTCACACTACCCTTAAGAGATACGAGTCTTCCACCTCTTCTTACTAAGTGCCAATTTTCACCTATGACATGAAAAAGTAATCAGGAACACGGTGCAACAGTTTGTCAAATAAGCCACAATTGTAAGGAACTGAATAGGTAAGTGTTTATGTGCAAGTGCAAGAAAAGAAGCTACTATGTAAGAGGAAGCAAACTTGCCTGTTATAATACTCCCTAGCACATTCCTCACAATCCCAATAGACTGCATCTTTAGATAAAAAAAAAATACACTTATCAAGCATTAAAACCATACAATAGGTGTAGAAAAGTTATATGGTTGATTTATAATAAAAAAGAAAGAAAAGTAACATAGTTAAGTGAAAGATATGACACGACTAGTACTGTCAGAGAGATGCTTAAAATGAAAAGTGTATTATTCCCTTCAAGATTTAGAAGTTAATTGACAGAACAGAATAGTATACGCATTTGGTTCGGGCTGACAGAAAAAAGAGTTGAGATCAACATTTTGTGTTGATTATTATTTTTTAGATTTAAGCAAAAGATGCAAAATGAAAATTTCACGAGATTGATAACGGAAGAGAATATGTTTTAGTCTAATAATAACAGCAAGAAATTTCAGCAGTTAAACATTATGAATCAGAAGGAACAGCATTACAATGCGCATCACATGAGTTGGAAATTATTAGCATATGATGAATCTGAAACAAAAGAAAATTGAGCTTTGAAATAGATAATTTCCTAATAATTTCCCTATGGCACGTTTTCATCATAAGGAAGTTATCGTGGAAACATGCTTAGTAATAGCATTCGCTGTCAGCACAACATGATTGATATAATAACAGAGAGAGAGAGAGAATGGAACTCACAGCTTGAGAGAGAAAGGGTGAATGAAAACGCAGAGGTAACGACATGGCCATTTCTTTACGGGATGCGTCGTCGACAACACCACAACTAAAGACGACACTGCGTTCCCACCGTTAATTGGTAACATCGCCCCTTTGCTTTTTCGGTTTTTCCTCTCAATTCACTTTCACCAACCCTTCCACGTTGCACACTTCTCCGCCGCCAATATGATAGTATTTTTAAAATGAGGTGGGATAAATTATTATTCAATCAATTTTAACGTTAGATTGATTATATTGATTTAATGGTTATATTTATTTTTGTTTTTGTATAATTATAATTTTTTATTTTTAATTGAAAACATTAAAAATGAGAAATTATAACGATATAAAAATAGAAATAAATATAAAGTAATAAATATAAAGAATTATAACCATATAAATATGAAAATAAATCCATTTAATAGTAAAATTAATTGGTAATAATATTGGTAGTAACATTAATTGATTGTTACAATATTTTTCTCTTTTTAAAATTTAAAAATTGTATTATATAATAATTTATTATAAGTGCTAGTTTTATTTTCAAGTACTTGGGTAATTAAAGTAAAAGATAAAGTGTGAATTTTCCGGTAAACAAAAATCTGGATGACGATTAACGAACACCTACCAAACTCGTCATCTCTATTCGATTCATCATCCTATGAGTATGAAACGTTGAAACCTAACACAACATAGCTCGAAGGTAAAAATGGCTTGGAAAAGTTCCTATACCCTCTTCCAACAACATTCTCAATTCACTTGTGCTTCTTCTAGAGCCTTCCTCTCAATTTTATTCCCCAAACCAACTTCGCGTACCTGCATTATTGAATCCCACAAAGAAATGCATTTATCCCCTTCTTTTAGTAAGAGGAGGCTCAACCTTACCCTTCTTCCCACAACTTTTCTGTTGGTCATGTTACCAAACATGCGTGATGCACTGTTGTTGGCTCAAGAATTGGAGCTTCAGAGATACACGGATTCTAAGGAAGGTTTCACTCTTCTTAGACCCTCTTCTTGGACAAAGGTAAACTACTTGTTTTTTAGTTGAAAATTCCCTTGATCTTTGATAAGTGTGTCTACCCAGGAGAAAAAAATAAGCGTATGTGAGTAATTGAGTGTGCTTTTATGCGAAAAGAACAATCTTTTGCTAATGTGGTTTAACAGGTTGATAAAGCAGGGGCAACTGTGTTGTTTCAAGAGGCAAATATGGGAAGTAACAATATTGGGGTTGTGGTAAACCCGGTTCGTCTTGCAAGTCTTGGAGAGTTTGGGAGTCCTCAATTTGTAGCTGATAAGCTTTTACAAGCAGAAAGACGTAAGGTAAAAAAACTGTTCTTCTTTCCACCGCTTCATCCTTAATTTACCTTAGCATTTGTTGGATTCTTCATTGAACTTTTTAAAATGATTTCAAAGTTTCCTGTGTTGGATGTATAGATACAACGAGATAGGCAAAGCAGTTCATATATGATATGACCAGTTCATGTAGCTTAACAAGTAAGACTAGTATATGAAAAAAGTGGCAAGGAACTTGTTTGGTAAGAAATATAATATAAAAAACAAAAAATCATTTATCATTCATGTCAAGGACGAGTCTTTGAAGCGGCTGTAAGGTTGGTCTTGTAATCGAATACGGATTCGAGTTTGGGAAATGATTTCTTTGCAAACTGCATGGATAAGTTCGCATACAATTAACTTTCACCCCTATTCTTATAAGTTGGGAAGATTTGTGCACCACATATTTGTCCTTCATCATTCAGCTAACAATTTAAGGTTTTTGGAGATATGTTAGATATATTCAAGTGTTAGTGGTGTGAAGTCCCATATGGATTAGACATAGAACATCAAAGAAGTGCGAAAGACGCATTAACCTATATCCTTTAGATTTTCCACTTATTGTGATTTATAATTTGATTGCAAAAGGTTTGGGCTCCTCGTTTAGTCATACATGTCTCTACTCTTAGAATTGGTGAATAGATATCAAATATCTTTGTGATTGTATATCATTTTAACTTCCGATAATTATTGCCTTGACATTCAGGAAAGTACAATGGAGGCCGAGGTGATTACAGTTGCAGAAAGATCAGGGGAGGGAGGTTTACAAATCTATGAATTTGAATATAAGGTTGATAGTACTCGGGGAGGGATGAAGAGGATCTTTTCTGCAGCATTTGTGGCCTCAAAGAAGCTCTATCTTCTAAATATTGTTCACTCTGATAAACCAGAGAGTCCTCTTGACCCGCATAAAAGAATGATTTTAGAGCAAGTTCTTCATTCCTTTGATGCAGCAACTTAAACTTTGGCATGGAATTTCGGTTCTTCTGATTTCTTCCCCATTTCTTGAGTTTTCATTCCTGAGTTATGGTCACGGACTTATGTCCAAATCTTACTTTGAAAATTATCACAAACAAGCAGACTGAATTTTTTTAGTGCATATTGAACTAATTCCAGTGTACTCTTTATATCACTATATTTTAACTTAAAACTACATATTACTTCAACGAGATATTTAGTTAAAAGTTCTAAACGTAGATAAGTTATCTATATTCATTTCTAAAATGATGTCGTTTTGAGTTGAAAAATTAAAAAATTATAATGAAAAAGACTATCATAATCTTGAAACAAATTATAATTACAAAAATACCTTTGATTTCTGCTTTAAAATAATATCATTTTGAACTCAATCTAGATAAATTTTCTGTATTAAGAGTGGAAAAAGCGAATCTTGTAAAAGCAAAATAAGGCGTGTATATATTTGTGCATGCGTGATGTATCAAAAAGATCTTTCTTTTTGGTATACATGCATGATTTTCGACCACGTGTATGTATACACAAATATTCCATATGTGTATACAACATGAGTCAAAAATGTAACGTAAATTTACCCAATAACAAAGAAAATTCATGTTCTTTTGCTTTTTGTTTTTTTGTTTTTTTTTTGGGTCTAGATCCAGAACATGCAATTTTCATATGGTTTGCTATCCAGGTGGCTCTGCCCCGGCTTATAATTGACATTTGGAAGAAATCATTCTTAGCAGTCTCCCTCTTGAGAGACGGTGAATGGTGTATGAAAATTGATAGTCATCGTTACACCTTATATAGATGACATGCCATTTATGTATTTCAGTGGTGATTCCAAATTGATCAATCGAACCCGTGAGAAAATTAAAAAAATAAATGATACGTAACAATAGAAATTCATCACTACTGATGACCAATTATTAGTACAATAATAAATTTATTGCAAATAAATTAAGAAAAAAAAGTAGATGTGTTTGTTAATAAGTTGATAAATTTTTTATATATTAATATGAATTTTTTTTTTTAATTTCTTTAATGATATAATAACACATTTGGATAATATAACAACTTTAAGAAGAATGAGCCAAATTAAAATAAATAAAATTAGTTACAAATTACAATATCACGGTGACACAGGTAAGGGTGCTAAATGAACCAGCGGCCTTTGGCTCGGCTCGTAAAGACCTGAGCTTACGTATCTAGAATTGATTGTTGGAACCTGAAGAGGTATATTCTTCTCACGCGTTAGAGCCAACAGCTTCTAGTGCTTTTAGTTAACTTGCTTACTTGTAATTAGTTTTAGTTAGTTATAATAGTGACACGTAGGATTAGATTCTAGCTTCTTCTGTAACAAACTATAAATACATGGTTCACCATGTAACTTAACACTTTTTGCATTCCGAATAAGATGAATACAACATTTTTACTCTCTGTTCGTAAGATGGTACTAGAGCTCTTCGCAGAGCTCTGATATTCGCCTTTCGTCTTCTCTTTTCAATTCCTGAGTTCTTGATAGTCTTAAACTCTTCTTCGAGATCTGCAACCAACGATAATTCCTGCGAATGGCGAATCGGAGTTCTGACTTAGCTCACGAACATGCAATTGAGGATTCTGCTACAAATCAAGCAGGTGAAGATTCTGCTAGTAATTGAGGTAATTCTAAAAGATCTAGCAGTGCATTATATTTTTCAGATCCAGGAAGTCCATACTACTTGCATGCAAACGAAAATCCTTCTTTAGTATTGGTTTCTTCCCTCATGAATGGGAAAAACTATCACAGTTGGGAAAGAGCCATGAAAATGGCGTTAATCTCCAAGAACAAGTTCTCTTTTGTGAATGGAGTTATCACTGCTCCTGATATGTCAGATCCACTTTACGGTGCTTGGGAAAGATGCAATACCATGGTGGTTTCGTGGTTGCATCGCTCAATCACAGAGTCAATTTCTCAATCCATTCTATGGATGGATCAAGCATCAGATGTTTGAAATGACTTGAAAGAGAGGTTCTCTCAAGGTGATATCTTCAAAATTTCTGACCTACAAGATGATATATACCGTTTACATCAAGGAGACAACACAGTCTCTGACTATTATACACAGCTGAAGGTGCTTTAGGATGAGTTGGAGGCACTACAACCAACTCCATGTTGCAGATGTGCACGTCCTTGCTGCAATGTGTCCTCAGAAGTGAAAAAGATCCGAGAAAGAGACTATTCCATTAGATTTCTTAAGGGATTAAGTGACAAATTCTCACATGTGCGATCTCAAATTATGCTGATTGATCCCTTACCCTCTGTTAATCGTGTGTTTTCTCTTATTATGCAACAAGAGAGACAACTACATTTAGAGGGACAACTTTTGGTTCATGACAGCCCCAAGGTTTTCTAAATACCGCAGATCAATTTCAAGGCAGAGGACATTTTCAAGGTCGTGGAAGAGGACGTTTTCAAGGTCGTGGAAGAGGTAGATCAAATTCATCCAGATTGCGTACACACTGTGGCAAGACTAGCCATACAGTTGAGACATGCTTTGAGAAGCATGAGTATCCACTTGGATACACGCAGAGGAACTATGTACACAAGACCAACACGACAACAGTTGGTGATCAAGATCAGACTTTAGAAACTATGGAACATGGAAACAACATGGGAAGGCCTGACATGAAGGACACTTTCACAAAGAATCAGTTTCAAACTATAATGGAGATGAAACAATAGACAATGCCTCAGAATCCTCAAACACAACAAAACTCAAGTCTTGCAAGCAACCTAGTGCAGTCTAAGGCACACAATGAAGAAAGCACTGATTCTTCTTCAGGTAATTGCAAATTCCAATGGATTTTAGATACTGAGGCTACTGACCATATCACACACTCTCTTGAATCTCTGTCATCTATTCGAAAGATTGAGCCTATTGCAATTTCTTTACCTAATGGAAGTCAGGTGCGTGCATCTATCTCAGGAACAATTGTGATTTCTGAGTTTCTTCAACTAACAAATGTATTATATGTCAAGGAATTTAAGGTGAACTTGATATCAGTGAATAGATTAATACATGACTCTAATTGTCAAGTGACTTTTCAGCAAAGGACATGTACTATACAACAAACTCCATCCATGGTGGTGATTGGTTCTGCTAGACTTGAAGCAGGATTGTACATACTTAATCATAAGTAGAGCACCAAAGACAGTTTACATGATGATGCAGAAGAAAATATATAGAAGGCAACGTGCAATGCTAGCACTACAGCTTCAGAGGATGATATATGGCATATGAGGCTGGAACACTGTTCAAAGACTATATTGAAGGCAATGATATTTAGATTTCCTTTTATCTCTTGTAATAAAATAGATGATCCCTGTGAGGTTTGTCATCTAGCAAAACAAAGAAAGCTTCCTTTTTGTCACAATAATACAATTTCAAGTGCACCTTTTGATTTGGTATATATGGACATATGGGGTCCTTATTCAATCCCTTCTATACATGGTAACCGGTACCTCTTAACTATCGTGGATGATCACACACGGTTTACATGGGGAATCCTCATGAAATCAAAGGCTAAAACCATAAACCATATTCGAGCTTTTGTAACACTTATAGAAAATCAGTTTGGAGTAGTAATAAAAGCCCTCCGTAGTGATAATGGGCAGGAGTTTCTTATGGATGAATTCTTTAGGAAAAAAGGAATAATTCACCAAACTACCTGTATTGAGACCCCACAACAAAATGGGATTGTAGAACGAAAGCATCAGCACATACTCAACATAGAAAGAGCCCTTCTTTTCCAAAGCAATGTTCCCAAAACCTTGTGGTGCTATTGCATTTCATATGCCATTCACATAATCAACCGAGTTAGTTCCCCAATGCTGCAATTCAAGTCACCTTATCAGCTGCTATACAACAAGCCACATGTTCTTATTCATTTGAGAACCTTTGGATGCCTAGCATATGCAACTACAATCACAGCTGGGCGATTGAAATTTGATCCACGGGCTAGAAGATGTATATATCTTGGACACAAAAATGGAATAAAAGGGTACATCCCCTATGACCTTATATCTAAGCAGATTTTTCTTTCAAGAAATGTAGCCTTTTATGAGCACCACTTCCCTTTCTCCAAACACCATCCAAAAACACATGATCAACAGTCTTATCCTTTTGCTATTGAATCATCCACTCAATATGATACACCAATAAGGTCCCAATGTACAGATACTCCTGGAACCACAACCAATCTGCCTTTTCAATCAAATATTCCCATCAACCCAATCGAGCCTTGTACCTCCATCACAATAGATAACCACATTGATACCACTTCCAGTATAGATACCAATACCAATCCCAGTACAGAAAACCTTGATTCACATATACGTTCATCCAGAATAAAAACCAGACCAAAGTACCTAAATGACTTTCACTGCAACCTTACTGCATATTCACCCGCTTTGTTGAACCACACACACATAAACAAGTTGTGCAGTCACCCGAATGGATTACAGCCATGAATGAAGAGATTGATGCATTGAATCGAAATCAAACCTGGTCATTTGTTGAATTACCATATGGCAAACATCCCATTGGTTCCAAATGAGTATATAAGATAAAACATAATGCAGATGACACTATTGCATGATATAAGGCAAGATTAGTAGCAAAAGGATACAATCAAATGGAGGGGGTAGACTATTTTGAGACATTCTCACCAGTTGCAAAGCTCACCACCACTAGGCTGTTATTAGCAGTGGCAGCAGCCAATAACTGGTTTCTTGAACAGCTTGACATCAACAACGCTTTCCTTCACGGTGAGCTGTGTGAAGACGTTTATATGTCAGTACCAGAAGGCATCACACCTCCTCATCCAGGGAAAGTATACAAGCTTCACAAGTCACTCATGGACTCAAGCAAGCTAGCAGACTGTGGAATGCCAAACTCACCACTGAGTTGATAAAGATTGGCTACTCACAATCATCCAGTGATCACTCATTGTTCACCAAGACAACAGCTGGTTCGTTTACCGCCTTACTTGTGTATGTTGATGACATGATACTTACAGGTAATGATACAAATGAAATCAGATCAGTCAAGTCACATTGGGACAATCTGTTTCACATCAAGGATCTTGGACCATTGAAGTTCTTCCTTGGGCTAGGAGTGGCACGTTCCCCTAATGGAATAGTGTTGAA